TAACGTAACCCCAATAACTGCATGACTTAACTGTGGGAGGAAATAGAGTCCCCACAGAGGATTCACTGCATACTACACTGAAAAAAAATGAAATTGGGTGGTTGTTACATTTACAAAATTCTAACGTGTAATTTGATACAATCTAGTAAGAATGGTTAGTTGCCTGGACTCAAGAAATGCACAAGATCACACAAGATTTCGAACTGCAGGAAAATCACTGTAGTTTTAAAAGGCAGACAACTACACACACCACATGTATGCTATCACTATTTATTGCGGTTTAAGCTTTCAAGGACAAAAACGTATGGAAAATTCTGCATCAAGCCTTGAAATCATAACTTTTCCTACTTTTGTTAATCCTCGGTTGACATCTTGGTGGCGTGGTGGTTAGTGCTGTTGTCTCACAGTAAGAGCATGGGTTCACTGGTTCAAATCCACAATCTGGCTAGTTTACAGTGAGTTCCATCTGAGTACTCTGGCTTCCTCCCACAGTTAAAAGTCATGCGGTTATTAGAGTTAGGTTAATTGGTGATTCCAAATTACCGTAAAGTGTGAATTTGAGAGAAAATAGTTGTTTGTCTGTATGTGACAGACTGGTGAGCTATCCAGGGTGTACCCTGCCTCTTACCGTATCACTTCTGGGTTGTGCCCCAGCCCCCCCTGCAACCTGGATAAAGATAGGAGGATGGTAGTGGTTGTAAATCCATTCAATTTTTATGTTAACCAGACTCTAGACTTTGTTGAACATTATGAAATATGAAGACAAATTTTATTATTTAAGTGACCAAGTGGTATTGGGGTAAAAGTTATTGAATAGTGTTGGAATAAAGTGACAAAACTGCGATGGATTAAAATATTCCAAGAGCTCAACTTAGTTCATTTAAACAAGTTTCACTCACGTTTTATCAACACAAACTGCACAAGCTTATTGAATATGAAGTGTTGATTTAACTCAGTTGTTTCTGCCAAAGCAATTGTGTGCAACCACTGTTCACTTAAGGAAATCCAACATGCTCTTTTTTTCCAGTTTAGCTGGATTCAAACCCAGGACCTTCTTGCTGTGAGACAACAGCGCTAACCACCACACCACCAATCAAGACTTGACAGCTTAAACCACAATAACATACACGTGGTGTGTGTATGGTTGTTTGCCTCTTATAACTCCAGTGATTTTCCTATCGTTTGAAATCTCGTGTCATCTTGTGAATTTCGTGAGTCCAGGCAACTAACCACTCTTATTAGATTTGATCAGGTCATCTGAACAAGAACAAATTAAGTTGTTGAATTTCATGCAGATCCTACATGATTTAATTATGTTCACCATAGGGACATGAAATTATTTTGTTCAAATTACAAGTTAGACTTTTGTAAATGTAACAACCACCCAATTTGCTTTTTTTGAGTGTATTTGGAGATATTTGTTGTTTTTGCTTTGCTTGTTTTTTGATTGGCTGCGGATTATTTTATATATATATTTTTATATTTCTACCAAGCTTTTAGTTATGTGATACTGTATTTCATTAAGCCGTTTTGCTTTTTAAAATCTATTTTATTACAGGAAGTTTCTCTTTGTTGGGCCAAATTGTCTAAAAAAAGAAAGAAAGAAAGAAAAGCTATGATGGTTCAGTGTGCCAGTGGATTATCATCATCATCCCTTTGTTGTAATCAACAGCTTTGTCATCTGGAGGCCCCCTACCATCTATTTACCATGCCATGTGACCAATCCGATGACAACCTAAACCCCATCCTCTCACCCGTGCATGCACCACCCACACCCCTGCACCCAGCAGGATTAAACACCCCCTCGCATATGCCCTCCAGACATAACGCGTTTGTGTGTGTGTGAGGTGGGGGTGTGGGGGAGGACATGTCTCCGTGGGCACAATTTGAGTGTGAGAGCAGCAACTGTTGTTTAGCTCCTCTAATAGCAGCTTTTCTATTTAGGTGCCAGAGTCACAGGAACAGAATCTGTCGGTGGGCGTTTGAATGAAGGAGGCTGACGAGCTCTGTTAACCTGCTGCGTGCACAAATGCTCCCCGAGCGCGTGCAGCTCGGGCACGAACGCGTTATAGTTATTAGAGTGCACGGAGGCGCGCCGTCACGCACGCGCTCCCGTTTTCCTGCATCTGAAATCCTGTCACGCGCGTGTAACTGGGACTCAGGTGACAGAGGTGTGAACTCACATGCCGACGTTTCCGTAGGTGTTGTAAAATTCCATATGGGTGCACGCCTGGATCCAGCCCACCACCCAGGTCTCGTTGCGCGGGACTGGAGGCATCACAATCCGCGCAGACGCTTTGAAATAGGGCGTCTTGTACCGAAGCACTATGGGCGAGCTCTCCTCGATGACCGTGGGGCAGTGGTCTATGGTGGCGGACAGGTCGCACACCACGATGCTCTCTCGTTTGATGCGTGACTTGTTACAGGCGATGCTCTGGATGCAACCCATGGCTGTGCGGGTGGAGGTGGCGGTCAGCGGCGGCTAAGTGAGCCTGACAGGCCGGGAAACAGCACAGCTGGCCGGGACTCCACCGACACCGCGAGGCTGTGCATCCGATGAGATTATAAGGCAAAGGTGGGTGCTACCACGCTGCAGGCCCGGGAGGGTACCCGGTAACGCAGACACCCGCCCTGCTGATGTGCGAGCACATCTGCCCGCTGCTCTGGGGCTGACCCTGCGCTCTGACCTCCGGAGGATCCGAAGCAGAAACAAGGGAGCAGATAAATCGAGTGTCACGTGAATTTTAGAAGCAGGGATGATTGCATCCTCTCCTCTAAACCCCAGCGGTCAGTTTCTCCCGGAGGATGCGATCCATCCGCGCTCCTGCTGCAGTCCCTGCCCGTAACCTTTGATCCTCGCCTTTCTGCCCCGAGCTGTCATGTCACAACAGGCGTCGGGGGACCGGCGGACGCTGGGACACCGGCAGGGGGACCCGGGGATCGGGCGGCGGTGTTTGGCGGTGCTGAACCGTGCATGAGATGCTTCTGCTGCTGCTGCTGCCGGTAACCTGAGCGAGGTCGTTAGGGTCCGTCATGCCTGGCCAATCGACCGGAGGGAAGCCCGGTGGAACAAGCCGGGAGTCCGAGCATCAGCGGTGGGGTAACCAGCCTCCTCCCAGCCACCACCCGGAGGGCAATTCCAGATCAAAGCCTCCAGACCCCGGGCATCAAATCCTCGCAGTGCAGAGCGAAAGAGCGCCGAAGGATCAAAATAAGAAAAATGAGAGAAACGGTGTCATAGTAACCGCGCCGCGTGCACCGCGCCGTCCTCCGCTGAAGAAGGCTGCGTGGCTGTGCGTCGCTGTTCAGCCTGCGCGGTGCTGAAGATGCTCAGCCGACCAATGAGCGGCGGAGGGAGACCGCACGGGAGCAGCTCTGCGACCTCTCCCCCCAAAAATACCAAACCCCACAAACACGGAGTCCACGCACGTGCCACTCTGATCAATTTTTTAGGAGTGACTCCGCCCTGGTAAAGCACCTTCCCGGGGGATTTGTGCCGAAGAACAGCACCTTTAACAGGAAGGGTCGTTTAATTGGTTTGAGAACATCAGGCTTTTCAAAATAAAACTGCCACAGTCTCGGCAAAACGACATCACCTCACGGTACTCCGGCGTCTGCAGTCTCCGCTACCTCCACCCCGGCAGGCGGAGGTTTCATATAAAGTGTTTTACTGGCCTTGCTCACCTTACAGCTACTCAGAAATTATACTACTGCTTTACATATAAGTATATATATCTACACACACACAGAATACGTTGTTCCTTTTGCTTCACGTCTTTTAACATTACAGATTTTTTTTGTTTATAATAATAAAACATACATGGGACATTTCCATTTATTAATAAACAACTAGTCATAAGAATCTCAGATGTGGTGCCACAAAAATATATTTATATATCATTTATTGGAGATAAAGAAGCTACTTGCTGTAGATGGAGAAGTGGGTCGATTTAAGTTGACAAAGATGGCTGAATGCAGGATGATGGCTTCTGAAAACAGCTTAAACAAGATGCAGATTCTTATTTATATGCAGTGCTGTGAAAAAAGTATTTGCCCCTTCTGGATTTATTAGTTTACAAATTTCAGATCAAATAAAATAAAAAAAAATTCATTTATTAAGGAAAAAAGTTATCCAAACCTACCTGCCCTGTGTGAAAAAAATCATTGCCAGCTTCAGGTAATAACTGCTTGTGCCACCATTGATGTCAGTAGTAACTGACATCAAACATTTAACTGGTATTGGAGGCCATTTTTGCCCAGTGTCTTTCTTATTGTTGAGTCATGACCTCTGACCTTAACAGAGCCAGACGAGGCCTGCAGGTCTTCAGATGTTGTTTTGGTTATTCTGTGACCTCCTGGGTGAATTTTGGTGGGCTGGTCACTCCTGGGAAGGTTCAGCACTGTCTGCAGTTTCTCCATGTGTGAATAATGGATCTCACTGTGGTTCATTGGAGTCCCAGAGCCTCAGAAATGTCTCTGTAATCCTTTCCAGACTGATAGGTGTCAGTGACTTTGTTTCTCAGCTGTTTGTTTAGATCTTTTAGCCTGCTTGACGTTGTGAGACAGCTTCTATTTAGCGATTTCTTGATTCAGCAGGTCTGACAATAATCATGCCTTGGTGTGACAGTGCAATTAAACTTTGCTTTCCAAAAACGTAGTTAATTACAGTTAATTTAGAAAGGGGCAATTGCTTTTTTACTGTATATATGAGGTTGACACCGAATGTTTATAAGATGGCGAAGTTCTATAATTCCAGTACTGTACAGTACAGTGCGAACTTACTAAATTTTGTAAAGAAATTGTATCTGCGTTTTTGGACATGTGTAATTAGTTGTTTTATCTATTTATTTCTTTTGTTTGTTTTCTTTCTGGTGTGTAATTGACCTCCTGCTTTGTTTATGTGCGTCTTCACTTTTATGTGAGGAGGGGTTCAATAAAAAGAAAGAAAGAAAGTCTCTTTTTTGTGCAACCGACGAGTTCAAGTGCTTTTATTTTGGAAATCAGCCATTTACAACCGCATGTTCTTCATTTCCGGGTCAGGTTGCTGATTCACATACAGGAGGAAAGCGGCGTGTTGGGCTTATAAAGTGTAAACATGGTGCCATTATAAAAAGTGGAGAGTCATCCCGGGTGTGTTACAGCCATGGTGAGTTTCTTATTTCACAGTTTAACTTCGCAAAAGCCCAACTTTAAAGCTAACACATGTGCTAAGCTAACCAAGCTAATGGTAATTCGGGAACCTCCAGCTAGTGATGCTGAAGCATTCACGCTGCTGAGTCAGTGAAGCAGGACTTTTTCTGTTTAATTCGCTCCTGTAGAAACCATTAACAGAAAAAAAACAGCAACATGACTTCATTCTAAACTGGGTCAGTAATCTTGATCTTTTTTTTTCATGTTACATATTAATGAGTATTTAAAACAGCCAAGATATTAGTTAAAATTCAAGCTTTCCATCAGTGTTTGTGAGAAAAACTAAACTTTTGTTATTTGGTATTTATACCATGTTGAGTTGTCACGATTTAATATGTTAGTTACACGAATGTTACCCCTATGAGCAAGCACTTGGTGACAGTGGGAAGGAAAGAACCCCTTTTAACAGGAAGAAACCTCCGGCAGAACCAGGCTCAGGAAGGGGCGGCCATCTGCCATGACCGGACAGGACAGAAGACAAGTTATAGAAGAGAGCCAGACATTAATAATAAATAATGATTCAATGCAAAGACGTGTATAAATACACAGTAAGTGAAGAAGAAACACTCAGTGCATCATGGGAATCCCCCAGCAGGCTACACCTATTGCTGCATAACTACGGAAGGATTCTGGGTCACCTGATATGTTGCAATGAGAAAGTGTAGCTTCAGATTTGTAATCCAGTCCGAGTTCAGTGTGATTAAAAATACATCCAGTGAGTCTCCTGCGACCTGATGTTTTAATATATTTTCACTTTGGTGACCTGTCTCGTTTCTCCAGGTGCCTTCAGACTTTAAAGCCCTGATCCAGAGATTTTATCATCTTCAGTCTGAGAGGGTCGAAACCTACCGGCTCTTTGAAGAGTACGTTTGAATCTCGTGATAATGCTGTTAAACACACACAGTCCTGTCTCCAGTGATTACATCATGTACACAAACAAGAGGAATCTGTATTAAATGACTAATTGCCCCCCCCCCTGTTGTTTTTGTGATGGCTGCTGAATGTTTTCCAGGGGACACGAGGCCTACTTGAGGACAGGGCCCCATTATGACTTTGACCACTACAGGCAGCTGGTCCATGAGATAACGCAGGCGTTCTGTGGCATCTCTAAGGAAGTGCTGGAGATCAAGGGCAGGCTGCACGACGGGTTTGACAGACCAGACCTCTCCGAGCACATTGAGAAATTGCAGAACAAAGAGAAGGAGAAACTTGAACTGGTATGTAAGCACTTTCTGCATGGGTCACTTTTTAGACCGAGGCAAAGTCAAGGGGAGTCTAAAATATAATATACGTCTGTGTGGTGATGAGAGATTTCCTTAACGGGCCTTTGGCAAGAAACTATGGATGCCAGTAAACATGATCACAGTAAAGGCAACAAGGCTGTGTTATTCTCTTTGTCAGAAAGCAGCACGTTCCACTCACTTCTGACCATTTGTTAAACATAAATATGTATCCTACTTTAGCGAGCCGCCGACAGCATGCCTTATAGTACCTGCTCTGAACACAAAGACACACACGTTGTTCGCACTCGTTCAGAACATCTAAAACGGTTTGTGCTAGAAAGCAAAACTATAAATATATAGATTAAAGAAAAATGACTGACCAGAAAAGTTGAGCAGTTGTCAAAGAGGAATTTGTGTTGTTTAATAATGTGGTGTTAAACCGTACCTGACAGATGATGTTTCAGAACTTTTTCCAAAACTGGATGCAATTCTACTGATTCACCACAAGGAGGCAGAGTTTTTGCTTTAAACGAAAATCATTTCTTAATCGTTCTTCAGCTGAAAGCAGATTTCCCCACCATCATTGTTGAGTGTCAGAAATCATTTGTAGAGCAGCAGTTTGTTATAAATCCTCCAGTTTACATCACCGATGGAGTAAAGCTGTGAGAAAAGCTTCTGGAGGGATATGTTTGAGATTTCATATTTGAGACCTGGATCTTTTGAGGTTGATTTATCATCATTTTTTTCCCCTGTCCACCTCTCACACACATACACTCTCTATGCTAAGAGTTGATTTGAAAAGGGGGAATGATCGGGTCACTGGTGTTTCTTAAGACTTGCTGTGAAGATGCAGAGATGGTCACCACACGGTGGTGCCAGCAGTCGGCCTGTGGACGCATATTTCCATCACCGTCAAAACTGGACACACCTTTTCGACTTACTTTGTATTAAAATTGTATTAAAAGTAAACAGAATCATCTGCTAGGAGTTAAATTGCTTCAAAAAGGCACAGCACCACAAACACAAGTCTAGTTTTCTGGGATGAAATCCAGCAGTGAGCTGCCATCCGTCAGCCTCCACCGGTCATTCAAAGTGACCAGCCTGTAATCTTTAGTATCACTTTAAATCAACACACTGTTTAAAGATATATGTGGTGATTTTTTTCTTTTTTAGTGTGAAGGGGAAAATTAGCTACAGAAACCAAAAACCTTTCTGTAAAGCAGAATGGAAACATGATTACTGCACAAGCAAGTCCTTCATCCCGAGGTAAAATGCCCAGCACAAAACCCCCTCCATAATAATGTTACCATGGTGATTTAAGTTAGGGGAGTGGCCGTTTTGATTGACAGCTGTGCAGATGCAGCCTGCTGTAGCTGGAAGCTTCACCTCCACCAGTTTGAACTACTGTAACGAACCTCTTGACCTTTTTTAAATCTTTATTATTATTAAAAATGTTGACGTCTAGGCTGGATGTTTGGTTATTAAATGATCGTTTTGTTATACCACCATAAATCATAAGAACTGTGCTTCCTTACCAGCTTACAGCAAAATAAATACCATGATGTGACCTATAACGAAGGAGAAAAGGCTAACTTAATTTTGAATGACACCATACTTAAAATCACTTGCAGAATAATTTCTCTCCTTTCCTGTGTAATACCTGAAGTCATGCACTATTCAAGTTATTTAAACACTATAGATCTGTGTTTCCTTATTCTAGTGTGCCTACCTGCATCACGGTATTTGTAGATAAATATAATTTTACTGTCATTTCAAATGTGAAACATTGAAGTTCCTTTTAATTACGGGCAGTATTACAGAGTGTTGGACAAATTTGACCACCTCAGTGCTTCCCACATTTTCACAGACTTCGGTACATCTGGTGTTCAGAGATGTTGCTTTGTTCTTTTGTATAAAGGTTTACATTCCTCTATAATTCAGCTCCCTTTCTTCCAGTAATGTTATAAAGCTCCCATTATCTCCGGGTTAATCATCCGCCTTTCCTCCATCCTCTGCTGATGAGTGGTTTGCATAAATCTTATCTGATGTGCCCTCTCAACAGACGGCTAAGCTGCAGCTGGCCAAGCAGCAGGCCCAGGATCAGCCGGAGGACCAGAGCTGTCAAGAACAGATTCAGGAGATCAAGCATAAGTAAGAGCTACCATTACAGCCCCTCAGTTTACTGTGCTCGCTTCCCATCAGCTCGCTGCTGAGAGGCTCAGTTCTTCTTCTAATTGATCCGATAATCTTTGTAACTGTTCCATATCAAACCAGCACAAATAAAAGTAAGTGTGTGTGTGTGTGTGTGTGTGTGTGTGTGTGTGTGTGTGTGTGTGTGTGTGTGTGTGTGTGTGTGTGTGTGTGTGTGTGTGTGTGTTGTCTTATTGTTGCCAGAGTCATCCAGAACAAAGAGGCTCTGAGTGAGATCATGCAGGACTTCAAGTATGACTCAGAGGAGTGCGACTGACAGCTCGCTCCCAGGAGGTAGCCTCTGTCTCGGACACTTTGAGCTGCACTTATCGATCCCCTCCACCCGGCTCCACCCAGCTCGCCGCTGCAGTCTTACTCCTCCCGGAGGGCCTTTAACATCCATCCTGCGTGCTTGTCTGCAGGCATGCGTTTGTGTTACTTCAGGGCTCAAAGAAAGCACTCTGCTGGCGCTGTAATGAAATGTGTATATAAAATATTCAGAAGGTGTGATCGGTTTGGAGACGCTCTCTTTGTTTTGATTGTATTTTTAAATAAAGACGCTTTACAAGACAAGTTTTGCTCTTAACTAATAACCAGCTGGTGTTTGTACATTTTACATCACACACATAGTAAAAATAGATAAAATATTCACTTAAATGTGCAATAAGCTAAACAACATTTGAGCTGATCTGGTGACATGCCGCAAACTTTCACTTCCAGAGACGTGTTTATCTTACATTCTGTTAAACACAAAGCAGTTTGAACTTTTTTCGAGTATAAATTTGCAGTTTTTGAAGGCGTTAATATTTTTTGTTATTGCTAACAGATCTAGCAGACAGACTGAATGAAAGGCTGCTTTGTCTCGGTTATCTCCCACTCGGGCCTTTTAAAATCAAGAGTGTGTGAGCGCACAGCCTCTGCAGCGTCCCTTGGACGGGAGTTGGACCTCTCAACACTGCGGGGACCCTGCGGACCAGTCATCTGTCAAGCTTTCTCGATGTGCGTCTTGAATTAAATGCCACAGTCACGCCGAGTTTCTGTGCTATGAATTATCTTCTTGCAGAATCTGAAAAGACAAAAGCAGATGGTTCTTACTGGGATAATTCAGCTAGGAAAAAAAAAGCCACCTCCACTAATCGTCACATTTCTCTGTGTGACTGCTGCTTTTCTCCTCGTTCTTATTCACCGTGTTGCCTCTCGCTACCTTTCTCTCGAGGTAATCAATGGGAAGCTGTCACACTTTGCGGACAAAGACATTATTCAGACGACAGCTTGCCCCCTATAAAGCACACAAAAAAAATCCAGGCACCTCTGAGCTAATCGAGTCAGGCAGGCCAAAGGTTTCTGCAAGTTCAAGGACTGAGCGTCAGAGGACGTGAACTCCTCACAGAGACTCACAAACACAGCAGATCTGGAGGCTTTGCGTGCCATTTGGGCCGAGTTATTTCTGTGAAAGGGGAACGCTCGCGCCAAGAGAAAACAAAACACAAAAGGAACACATTACCGAAGGCTGTTAATTACATTTACGTGTTTATTTCTCTTTGTTGTGGCCATCAGATGAAGATGAGAAGTCCACTCATTAAATATGTAATAAAATCAGAGTGCTCGACTGAGAGCGTGTCTACTTTCATGCTTCCACCTCTGGGCCTGTAAAGTCTAAACCGCACATTTTACCCGATCATAAAGTACAGACTGAAACTTCACAGAGCAAGTTCAAGAGAAATCCTTCCCCTTTGTGTTTGCAAAGATGCCGACCATATGATGAAGCAAAGGCAGGGTCAGAAATTCAGCTGGGGCCGCGGACACAGCCGCGCTTACCTACCTGCTTGCGCGTTTTCTGCGATTTCTGCAGCCACACCCTCCACTGATCGTACAGTTTCATCGACATGCCGCCGCAGCCGTAGGCGTGCTTGCGGACCCAGCCGAAGAACTGCTTGAGTTCCCGCCGCAGCGTGGAGTTCTGCTCGCCGCTCTTAGGGTCGCACGAGCCGCTCTGCAGCTGCTCTGGGAGGAGACGGGGCGGGGGGAGACAAAGGAAGTGAGAAGATGCGCAGGTGAAGTGTGAGCACAGGTGTGACTTTTTAAATATCAGAAGAAGTTATGCATTAAAGAAAACGAAGCATGTTCCTGGCCCGACTGCTCTGTGAATATTTGGAATGATTTGTATAAGTTTAGAGTTCTTTTCAGGTCTTCATTAGACAATCAAACGGAGCAGGGTTGAATTGAGACGCTGCCTTCAGAAGGGTTGATTCTCACAGGCGGGAAAACTGATTCAAAACAGTTGTTGCTGCAGACAAAAGCTTCGATTCCTATTTTTTCTCCTCAATCAAAGACATTAAAATACAAACAAAGTTACTCTATCGTAGCTCAACACTGCAAAACCGAAAATCCAAACAGAACTTTAGTTTCATTGTGACGCCGTGTGTTTGTGGAAGCGACACTCAGTTTCTGGGCTCTTGTCGTCTGCCACCATCAATTCTTTATTGCAAACAACAGAGCCCGATAACGACTTCCTCCCCCTGACCACATAACCTATGTAACTCATTATCTGCCCCTCCAGCTCCCAAACCTGCTTCCACTCAGGCTTTATAGGCCCTGTGTGCGCCGCTGACAGACATGCCGCTTTTTAACTTGATCAATGTTTGAAGCCGACGACAAAAATCTATCAAACGTCCCCGCGGCTCTCCGCAGTTCCCTCTAATCCTCCGTCTGGAGATCCCTATCAAGGTACGTAGCCTATTGATGTTTGGTTCCTTTTAGGCCACATGCGGTTTGAATCTCCTTGTTCAGGATGTTGGATCGGGAAGGAGGACACATTGTTCTTTTTTGGGCTTTTAATTGGCAATGAAAGGTTGATTATTGGAGAGAACGGAAAGAACGGTCAAGATATGTGGGCATCACAGACGCTTGGGAAGCATTTAAAGGCCATTTAAGCAAAGAGACAGTCAGGGACAGGAAGGACTTTAGTGACGAATGTTTGCTACATCCAGGCTGATAGCTTTTACTTGTATTTCATGTCGTCTGTAAAGTTCCTACCACTGCTGGGCGTGGAGGCGGCGGTCGGATGGCTCCAGTCGCTCCAAATGCCGGCCTTCCTCGAGCCAAAGATGCCCACTGGGTTGCACCTCACCTGGACAAAATAGACGGTCCCAGGCTGGAGGCCTGCGAGGCGGCACGATGTCAGATTGCCGACATCGTCCACCAACTGATGGAGAGGTCAGAAAGAAACAGAGTTTGTAAGGAGACAGTTTTGACAGCTGGTGGAGGAAAAGCAGAAAGGCCATAAATGCCTCAACGCCGGATATCAGTGTCACTGTCAGGGACAGTAATCCACCGTGAATCCATTTCACCTGCTTTGATCTGAATGAAAATGAGGACTTCTGACCTGAAAGTGCTCAGATCCATTCTGCAACGTGACACTGAGCTTTAACTTGAGGCTAGAGTCATACATGATCAGTCCTGCAGCACATGCTACGAGCCCCGATCTCAAATCCACAGAAGACCTGAGACAAATTCGCCAACTGTACCTGAAAACTGCAGCTGTACCAAGAAGCACGCTGCACACTCCTTCAACAGGAGATAACGATGTGATTTTGGCTCTGTTATTTTCTCCTGACTGCCTCTTATATAAAGTTAATTAATCATTTTTAATTTCACGGTCTTAGCTCTGAACGCCTCCCCACATTATTTTTAGCGTCTGAAACTTTTGTTTGCTCTGCTTTCATCCTGAATCTCCTCTGGATACTGGTGACTTCGTATTCAATAAATATTACAGTGTTTGCTTAATCTTCTCATTCAACAGAGAAACATACAAAGCAGAGAAACAGTAAGGAGCTTTGGTTAGAAAACATCAAAGAGAGTTAAAGGAGGAACATTTTGTGCACTTTTGGATCAAAACCGAGCTTCAACACTTAGAAGCTATAAATCGCTAACGACAGCAAGGAGAAGATTTGTTTTACAGCGAAGCAAGAAGCTTCACGTTCATCATTGCTCACACGTTTCCACAGTAGCTACAGAGAAAGTGTGTGTAGGCGAGTCTGCGGGTTTGTGTGCGGACCACCTTCCAGTCAGCGCTGTCCTCCAGTCGGTAGCGTATCTGATATTTGGCCTGAAACAGGATGTCCTTGAGCTCGGGGGGGATGGCCCAGCGGACCGTCAGCTGGTCCTCGAGCTCGCCGACGCGATTGACCTGCACGTTGGCGGGAGGGTCTGTGGTCACTGCACACACAAGGGACATCTATTAAAGGGTTTGCATGCAGCAGGTGTAAAGTCCAACAGGGCAGGGATGACCAGTAAGAGATGAAATGAATGAAACTACTCGGAGGCTGCTTCTTAAATCATTAACACTCTTACGTGCAGCTTTAGAGTATTTACTATATTTGGCCTCATCCTTGGTCTGCTTTACCACACGATCAAAGCAAGAGCTTTAGCTTCACAGGGAATTTCCACCGGTACAGATGAACTAAATAAATAGCTGTCATGTGGAAGGAAAAGCAGTGCAAATAAATATTTAATGGGGACCAAATATTATCCAACTTTATATTTATATCTTTGAACTCCATTACAGCAAGCTTGTGTTCATACTAATCGTAATTTATCTGATACCAGGACCTGGTGCAGCACCTCACGTCATCCTCTCTCTGAGACGTACCTCACCATTTCAGCCAGCCTTCTTCCGATTGGCTGATTGTCAGAAACAGCAGGTTTCAATATCATTTGCCTTTATTTTTTCTGTAGTAATAACCCCAAATGAAAGAAGCCATTCTTGCACTGGAGAAAACAACATCTTACGACCACAGCTTAAATAAAATGACTGTGATGGCGTGCAAGATATAGTCTGCTCAAAGTGGCATTTACATGAAAAATTGTGTTAACATGGAGCAACTCAGATTCATTTTTATTTCCAAATCACATCAGTCGCCTCAGGACAATCAGATGAACCCCTGTGAGGAAAGACTTGGAGACAGTGGGAAGGAAAAACTCCCTTTTAGGAGGAAGAAACCTCCGGTAGAACCAGGCTCAGGGAGGGGCGACCATCGAGAGACTGATTGGGTTGAGGGGAAAAATACTGGACAAAACCCACACTGTGGAAGAGACGGAGATTACTAATAGGTAATAAAAATTTTTTAACTGACGGCGTATAGATGCCGCTTTCAATTTAATCAGAGAAAATCATACCAAAAATAATCGCCTAAATTTGCTGCCGTCTACAGACAGAAATTCCCATCTGAGATCCGAGAAATTCAGAAATTCCTCCACATTATAAATGTGGTTTCTGCAGGACGGTGATCTTTTGCAGCTTTGCTTTCAAACAGGAAAATAACCAGAACACAACCAGCTGGTGACCAGTCGAGTGGACTCCCTACTTCAAAGGGTCGTGCTCATTATTCATTCACTGTGACGTGTTGGCATCTGTCTCCAGTTAGAAGCTACACAGCACTTATCTGCAAACCTGCACACGTCTGTCAGAAAGAAGACAACCTGCAACTGGTTGCTGCAACCTGAGATTTTTACTAATCGCAGGTAGGTTTCCATGTTTTGTTTTGTTTTTGTTTTTACTGTAGTGCGAATGACTCATTAACGTGTACCCTGGTATGATTTTTTGGACCAGCTGATTACAAAAATGTGTGTGATTAGGACAATTTCAAAGTGATTCCACGTTATAGGAAGACTACTTGCTGTCATGTTCAGAGGTTTCCTAATTTATCATTTTATAGTTAAATGCTATTAAAATGCTAAATGAAAAACCTGGTGCTGTTCATTTAGTGTGTGCGCTTCAGTTTAGGTCAGTCTGTAGTTCCTGCGAGAGCACGTCGTTCCCTCAGTCAGTCAGAAATAAAACAAAGTGGCTCGAGTGCTATGAAGGGGAGGAAGATGAAGGCAAAGAGGGTGGCAGCACGAGAGGGAACACTCGTTAAAAATGCTTCCCATTTGTAACCTTCCGCTTGAGACATCGCTCACTGTGTTTCGGCTGACGTGTCTCTTTGTTCGGCTCGAGATGAAGAGGGAAACGGAGCCGGCAGAACTCATTGTTTCTGGTATTCTGGCAGCGCAACGCATCACACACGGCGGCGCTCCTCCTTCGCCTCCAGCCCACTCACAGCCTCCACGCTTTCTGTTCCTCAGCGTCCAATGAGGATTCACAGAGAGAGGATGCCGAGTTCCAAAACACAAAGGCTGCTTTATGAAGTGCGACAGTTTACCGGAGGCCTGTGCAAGCAGATGAGGGCTACACTAATCATAACGCCACAATTTCAATTCCAGGAACATGTGAAGCCGTCACATGAGGGGCATCTGCTAAGGTTAACTTTTACAACATGACAGTTTTGTCTTAGAGCCACAAGCTGGAGCTCTGCAGACAAACGTAAAAGGAGAGGGGGAAGCGTAAAGCTGAGCTGAAACCCTCTGTTAACTTTAGACGTCTCTCACTCACCTACATCGAGGATGTCCAGGGTGGTGATGTCAGAGGTAGCAGAGCCCAGCTGATTGGTTGCTTCCACCCAGATCTCGTACGGAGTGAAGAGGGCGATGTTGCGGGGGATGTAGCAGGAGTAACGCTCGTTTCCCGTGCTGTAATTTTCACACTCCTTCTCTTTGCCGTGCCATCTGGACGCAAGAACAGAGACTGAATCTGGTGTTTGCCGCCACAGAGGCAGACGGTGTTTTTATGGGTTTGCATCCTCGGAGTGAACTCTCCAGTCTATCTGAGGGCGGCGGGATGAGGTAATCACCTGTAAGCTGCGACAGCGGGTCTGGAGGCACTCACCTCAGTTTGTACTTGAGGGTGTATTTGGTCGGGACGTGAGTCTCGCCCTGACCACCCAGGCTCCAGCGGCAGCTCAAGTCCTTCGTGTTTCGGGACCAACAAGTTAGATTGACGGGCTTCTCGGGAGGCACTGGAGACAAAACGGAGCAGAAAACAGAAGAAGAAGAAGACTGGTGTCAACCTATTACAATAAATAAAATAAAAAACAAACAAACACTAATGTCGCCTTAAAGATACTGCATGAAAAAAAGCACAGACAGACATAAAGATTATAATCAAGAAGGAACAAAGAGTAAGAGAGCGTTAATCACACACACAGTGAGTGTGAGCCATCTGATGCTTCATGTGGTTTTAATCGAGGTTTCTTAAAAAAATGAATTTGTCCAGAAAAAGTACAGCTGGAAATCATTTAACTTTGAAATCAACTCAACTAATCTTAAAACGTTTAGATCAGAAATCTCTGAGAAAGTTACAGATTTACCACATGGACGTCTGACTTCAATATATAACTATATATAACTATACTTTCATAATGTAAATATTGTGTATGTGTATGAGTATAATAATTTCTGCCTTCATCAGCACATTAATGCAACAATGAGAATTATATTAACCTGTAGTATCACTTTAATAAAAATAACTATGATTAATATGATTCTTATAATAACTTGCACAAATGAAGATTTCTGATAGGCAGACTGGATAATAACAGCTGAATTCTTTGAATTTTGCCCCCTACAGAACGACACAGGAGTTACATCTCCTGGTTCATGTCGCCTGTTAGTGAGTTTATTCTGCAGTGATTGCAGTTCTGCAAAATTAATACTGAGCTAATAAAGCTGATCATGTAATTATGAAGTGTGCTCATTTATAATGCCATCTGCAAAGTCAGTGTTCACCCTCCACTTACTGCCCACGTAAAGGCAGGATCCAGCCAGGACGCGTCCGTCCGCTCCGTGGCACACCAGGTTGTCTCCGGACCGCTGCTGGGATCCACTGAGGCCGTGAAGGGTGACGCTGAGGACGCTGGGCGACACCACACTGTAGGCGCTGCTGGCCACGCGCGCTCCGTTCAGCGTCCAGTATAAAGTGCTGGCGTGCACGCCGAGCTCAGGGCTCAGCGTGCACGTGGCCGTTAGACTGGAGCCAATCAGCAGAAAGGGATCCTGGGGGGAGATCACCGCCACATCTGGGTGTTGGAGACACATGGACACAAAACAACCTCTTAAGCCAAAACCAGTATGAAGGCTTCATGTGATAATCAAGTCCTGTCATAATCAAGTTCTCAAAGTCTAATTAGTATTATGCTCTATTGTATTGTGCATCTGCACCTTATTGTTGTCAATGTCTACGCGTGGGACAGTGTGAAACGTAATTTCAATTCCTTTGTATGGCAAGTACATTTGAAGAAATTGACAAATAAAAGTATTCTATTCTATTCTCTAATTACTGAATGTGACAGAATAAATACCCAGAATCTAAAGTTGTTTAAGATTATCTACAAAACCAGAAGATCCTCACATCCAGGCCTGACCAATAAAATAATATAATACATCATCTATTGACGGTTTTTAGAACAGTCCCTCTCTCTTCCCCCGTTTACACATGAATGTGGAATAATTTAACCAAAACGTTCCTCGGAGGTGAAAAATCCTGTAAACTTGCTAATGTTCTCTTTCCTAACAGGACTACATTTAGATTTGAGGTTTGTAGCTTCCCCCCAGTCATCGTTTAACCATAATTAACTGCGCTTTCTTCAGCAGCATCCCCAACACAGCGCTCGGCGGCTGTTTGTCTGAGTGTTTCTCAAACCGACAGCAGAGCCCGAGGTGAAACCACAGCACTTATAACAAGAAATCATTAGAGGCAAATTTTTTTGGCCAGCCGTGGGAAAATGTGTGAGTGCGCGGAGCAAAATCCCGGTCCCCACGAGTTTGAAGGCATTTTGAGACTCAAAATGTGGTTTTGGTGACTGTGTGTGTGTGTGTAGGTGTGTGTGTGTGTGTGTGTGTGTGTGTGTGTGTGTGTGTGTGTGTGTGTGTGTGTGTGTGTTGGTGAGTGTGTGTGTGTGTGTGTGTGTGTGTGTGTGTGTGTGTGTGTGTGTGTGAAGCAGCAGCCTCTCGGCACATATTTATGACCCAGTAATGAAGCGGATTTATGGAGCCCCGCTAGGATCAGTCAGAGAGGTCACCCCGGTTTACTGGTGAAACCTTGAATGCTTTTCCATACCGCGACCGTCTGAGGCGTGAGGTTTGCCCCTGTGATTGATAACCATGAGAAGCCCTCCTCTCTGTGTTTGAATGGCACCACCGGGCTCCTTATTCACAGATATTTGAGTTAATGTGTAGAGTTTTATGAGCCGTGCTGCAGGTGGGCGGCGGATAAGCTTTCTAACATGTGTTTCACTTCAGTGTTTTAATCTGTAATGTAAAGAGAAAATGTTTGAGGAAGAGCACAGCAGTTCTCATCTTCGGCCCTCGGTGAGAGGGAATTAAACACCGTGCTAATTATGAGCGCAGTAAACAATATATCTGTGATAATATGAAAAATGAATACTGTTCTAACTGCACACCTCAGTTTTCTGTTATATGCAGGCACAACATCCCATAGTTCATCCCTTGGGTTAGATGCCTTTTCATGCTCGCATGATTCAGTGGTCAGTGTTAACAAACAAACAAAACCCATTCCTCTGAAAATGGTCAGGTCTGACGACAGGACCGAACATGAGCGAAAAGGCAGCCAATCTCCAAAGAAACACTTTCAAAGACCTTCAGAAAGCTGGAGAACTGTTGCTCAAGAACACTCGAGGAATGTCTGGCTTCTTGGAGGCAAAATATAAAAATGTTTTAAAGGGAAATTAGGAGTGGCTCAAGACTTTTGCACAGTGCTGTATACAGTTATCTGGCATCAGTTTTGCCATAAAGCAAGTACAAAGTCATAGGTAAGATTTCCTCTATGATCTTCTTCTTATTACCTCACTGACTGTCAGGTATCAGACAGACACATTTACTGCATTAATACATTTTAAATGACGTTATTTTGCAGATAGTTCTGAGTTAGTTTAATCCTTATAATCGCTATGATTAAGAATAAGAATTTTTACAGGTGAGGAACAAACTTGTTCACGCAGTTGAACATGAACTTGTTCTCTTGCTTCGAGCGCTGCTCTGCACTCTCCTTTAGACAGGATCGAGGTGACGTAGCTTTACCTGAAGTTACCGAAAGTTCGGTGTTACTCACGTGTCGTGGAGAACAACACGCGTGGAACCAGGAGGATCACCAACACGATGGGAATCATGCTTCTCTCTGCTGCTGTCCGCTCGCAGCTCCAGGAGCTGAAGCTGGAGGAAGAACTGCGCAGCTGCACTCCGTGAGAGAGGATCCCTCCTCTGACTGCAGCCCTCACGCCCCGCCCCCCACAGACACACACACACTTGCACACTTTCCCTGCTGCCATCGTTCCTATGCAGAGAGATGCTTCAGGTGAGGCGGTGACAACTGTCAGGTTTGAAAATCTCACCTTTCCTGACATCACCACGCCTATTACAATACGTCATTTCCTGTCAGTGTTAGGCGAGGCTTTATCCTCACCAGTTAGTGATAGAAGTTAAAGTCATGTGATACTAAATGATTTTTAAAAAGAAATATTCTTATGTAAATGTCATGTATTGATATGGCTATGTCTTAAGGTGATGACCTTTGAACCGGATGTTGTTGTGGTCCGGGGGAAGCCCCGTTAAGTGGCTAGTTGTAAGATGGACAGTGTTCAATAAAGCAACATAAAGACCGTGCTTTATGTCCTGATTCAATTCAGAGTGCTCTGCCTAATTTAGTAATAAGGTGAGCATACAACAGTAAAGAAACGAAACCAGTCATCAGTCCAAGTATCGAGCTCCCTGTTCTCTCACAGCATATTTTTTTAACACAACCCCACTGAATGCAAAAGCTGTGGGGTTTGTTTTGTTTTTACACCTGTAAAACAACTTATTTTAAGTTATTACAGTTTATTAGCTCTAATGCAGGAGAACAGGTAATACTGTATTTTGTGTTTTTAATAATATTTGGGCTGCAGTCTTTCACCACATGGATGTAATGCTCTCACCTCTGAGTGAATCTGTTCTATCCTGAAGAGTGGGAGGCATACAGTTGTAAACTCGCCTAATCCAGATGTTATTTCACAAAACACATTTTAAAACATCTGCACCAAAGATATTTTTACCGATGTAAAAATGGATTAAAACATCGCCCCTGCATTCACACAGAATTGGCACTAATGAGATGACGGGAAGAACAATGCAGAATAAAAAGTGCATCACGTGTTCTTCCAAACACAAGAGGAAAAACTGTAAAAGCTCATCTGCAGGTGAGGCTCTGCTTAAGTTTTTACACAGAAAATGGAGCGCTGCTCAGGTCGATGTCCTCAAGATCACAGCATCAGCATCAGAGGGTCCAGAGAGTGATTAGAAATATTAAGAATAAAAAATGACACTCGCCCACAGATATCCACCCAAAGCAGAAACGAGTAATGGGCAGTCAGAGACAGAGGAGGAGCCAAAACACTCTGTTTCATTAAGAGCTTACACACAGTTAGCCCAGACACTCTCAGATACTGTCAGTTACTCACAAATACTCACGGATACTCTTAGAAACTTACAGATGCTGTCAGATACTCACAAATATTGTCAGAAACATATGGATACTCTCAGGTACAAATGCTCACAAATACTCTCAGTTATATGTTATATTATATTGTATTATATTATACTATGTTACATTATATTATGTTATAATACGTTACATTATGTTATATTATTTTATGTTATGCTGTGTTATGTTATGCTACATATACTCTATACATATACTTCTATAACTAGCATCGGTTAAACTTTTTCATGATCCCCTTTTTTCAGGTAACCCAGCAGTAAACCGTTCTTCTAACAGGCGTGACCGTGAGTTGCGTGTTGTGTCTCTGTGAGGTCTCAGGTGTGGGTCAGGTCTTCCTCTCCGCTGCTCGTTTATGCACTGCAGCAAAGGCTGCTCTGCGGATCGAGTAGGCTGTTTGACGGCGCGTGCGTGATGATGATGATGCGCGTGACGCCACGGGCAGAGGCAGATCAGCGGAGCGGCAGACGGGACCCGGGCTGAGGCAGCAGCAGCATCCGCAGCAGCAGTGGCGCCACAAAGCGACTCTCCGCGGCTCTCTCCGGGATCTGGCATGCTTCGGCTCGGCGGCAGGATGTGCGCGCTCTCGGCCCTGCTCTCCGTGCTCCTCGCTGGACTCGCTGCAGCGTCCTCCGATCTGTTTGACGACCAGCTGGGCGACATCAATTACTGCAAGAAGCAGTGCGCGCTCACCATCAGAAACAAAAGCCCCGCTAAAGTAAGTGGTCCCCGGCAGACTCCATCCCACTGCGGCGCGCAGCGCAGACTAACGCGGGAGCCAGAGCTCACGATAACCCGCAGTGAACGTGTTTAGGTCCGCGCGAGGGCCTCAGGGACGCTTCGGCGCACTTAGGCCTTAAATGGATGCAGCTGATTTCTGTGTGCATCTTAAAGGCCAGTCGAGACGTGAACTGCGTCAGTGACCCACTCGGATCCGCTGTTTGTAGACAGGTTTACGCAGACAAGGCCAGACCGGAGGGCGGCAGGCTGAGACCGTGAGGTTTGTGAGTTTCCGTGGATTACAGATTTTATATCTCGGGTGTTTGTCTCCCCCCTCCTCCCCTTCTCCTCCTCTGCTGCCTTCAGGTGTGGTTCAGACACCCTGCAGGGCGGCAAGGGGTAGAGCTGCAAACACCCGGTTTGAAATCTGCGATCCAAAGCTCTGCGTCCATCACACAGAACAGCGACTCCAGACACGCTGTGTACGCATTCACCTTCGCGCTTTGGGATAAACAGCCTTTCCCCTCCCTCCGAATCAGCGCGGAAACGCAGTAAAGATGATGAAAAGCTCAAGGCTGTAATAAACTGGCCAAAAACCTTTTTTGTCTCGTCTATTCCCAGCGAGGCCACCAGAGGACGCTGTTTCTTTATTTGCATCAAGAGTGTGGTGAGAGGAGGATGCATCCTCCTGTCACCACCACAGTATCCTGCAAAATTTTCATGGAGCTCGCTTATTACCATCAGCTTTCTCTGGCAGCATCTAAACGCGTCTTATAAACTGTTTATGTCAGGCCATAATATTACAGCTGCACCGTGTCATTACGAATGCCATGACCCATCTATGTCACAGCTCCTAACAAGGTTATCTGGAGTTTATCCAAGACTATAGGAGACGTCTCTAATTTTGAACCCCCCCTTCTGTCTGTTTGACTGCTAGGACTCCATAATGAACGCCTGTCACCGTGGCTGTCGCCTCTACTCCATCTGCCAGTTTGTCAATGGCAATGCTGGCTTTAATACCAGCAGGGAGGAGTGTCAGGGAGGTGAGTCAGTGTGTCAAGCTGTCCATTGGGCTGTTAGCTTGACTATCTATCTATCTATCTATCTATCTATCTATCTATCTATCTATCTATCTATCTATCTATCTATCTATCTATCTATCTATCTATCTATCTATCTATCTATCTATCTATCTATCTATCTATCTATCTATCTATCTATCTATCTTATCTATCTATCTTTATCTTTCATTTTTTTCAATGTTAATTGTAAATCAGATTGAAAAAAGAAAGAATCCTGAAGAGAGGTCACGAGGGTCAAAATCCATACGAAGCACAATGGCTCTTTTATCTCGAATTTGGTGTTTTTGTAGTCGTTGGAAAAGACAGGACTGGATTTGAAAATAAAATCTGGAGAGCAACATCAAAGCTCTGGTAAACACTGCGGTGTTTCCTGAAAGCTGGCAGGCTCGTTTTTGTCAGGGTGGGGGGTTTCAGGCTGTTCTCCCTGTTTGAACTGCGGTATTGAAAATCAATGATGTGATTTGCTGTCCAGACAGCAGATACCCCGGTTCCTCCTGCTTCAGTAACAGCATTGTGGAGCGAGTCGTCTCGGTTGTGTCCATTCTTTCTGCCCTCGCCTGTTTTATTTCTTCTCTGCTGACTTCCCTTTTGTGCTCATTCTTTCTTTTCTCGCTCCTTCATCTGCGCTGTCAACCTGCTTTTGCTCTTTTCCTTTTTTATATATTCTGTCATACTTCACTACTGCGCCCTCTCTCTCTCTCTACAGCATGCCAGGAGGCATATATTAAGCTGCTGGAGCAGGAGGCCTGCAGCACCGGCTGTGCCAGCCAGCCTTCCGAACCCGAGATCAAGAGAAGGAAGGTGAGAAAGAGCACTTTGCGCTCAATAGGTGCACCCAGACACACACAACTTATAGGTGTCGGTTTAAACTTGGCACAAGTGTGTACACAGGAGACCACCCTCACTGCCGTCCTGCTCTTTCTCCTGCAGCTGAAGGCCATGACTCTCCGCCCAAAGCCGCCCTCTGTGATGGAGGCCGTGTCCAGCTGGTGCAATGACATTGTCAGCTCCGCCCAGAGTTTCATTTCCTCCACCTGGACCTTCTACCTGCAGGCTGATGACGGCAAGGTTGTGGTTTTCCAGGTAGGACCAGCTGGCACTGGGAGACGGGGAACACCATAGAGCAGGGATGTCAAACTCATTTTACACTGCGGGCCACATACAGCTTTGATATGTTAGCCGAACCAGTGAAACTCCAATTTCTGTCAGTGTAAACAAGTTTAACTCCACAGTGAGATACCTTAATGTAAGACAGAGAAGCAATTTCATCAGAAATGCTGACGACTCTTAGGGCTTAAACTGTAAAGACGTAAATGTGTTTAATATGTAATTTAATTACCTCGGTGCATTGTGAGTGGCCACAGGGGGAGCTCTTCATCAGCAGGAAAAGCTGTAAACTTGTGAAAACACCAAAATTTATGTCCTTCACATAAATTCACAAAGCCAACCAATTAGGCCAGATTGATGTCTTCGCTGGGTCGATTCAGGCCCCCGGACCTGATGTTGGATACCCCTTCCATAAGCTGTATATAAAAGAATGATGTAAGCAGATAACTGCGGGTTGGATCTGACTGCAGTAGCAATGCAGGAAAATGTTCACTGAGGTCATTGATCCCACGGCAGCCACACGCGTCATCACTGGCTGGCTGTTAGGAACGTTTGTTTTACTTTTCAGTTATGCCCTGAATGTGTCACCTGTAAATAAAAACAGCAGTGTGAGCATTCATGCCGCTTTTCTTACCCCGCATTCAAAATTAAGACAAACCACCAAAAAGATGGAATCCTGTTTTTTGCTTCGGTCAGATCTTCAGTCTGTTCTACAAATTTCACACCACGTGACTGGAAAGACAGAATATTTTAATTTGCATGTACACAGTATCTGCACAGTATATTCAGGATATATTCGTTCATGCAGGGTCTGTTGCCTACCGGTGTTGGAAAAATATAAAATGACTACTTACTGCGATTTTACGCCTCATATGTTTTTAATTGGAGGTTAAGGCAAGCCAGCGAGCCCTTATAGATTACTGGATGAGCTCACCTCTGCTTCCTTCCCGTTAGAACTGTGAAATGTATCCTCTGGTATACACTGTGTACAGCCTGGGCCACAGCTCATTTTAGAGTCAGTGCATCTGTGAAGGTTGAGTGAACAAGGGCACACAGCGGGGTGGAGGAAAGGTGGCTGAATTC